AATCTACAAAAAAGAAAGTTTGTTTGAACAAAGAAAAGGGTTCAGTAAGCAAGGCCTATACCGCAAGACTTCGAATTGAAGCCCTTTTTATTTATTTATTTATTTATTTATTTTTTTTTTTTTTTTGCAAACTTTGGATGGGCTTCTTTTCGAGGCCACTTTTGCAAAGTAAAGAGGGGGCTGTAAATTTTGGAAATTAGTACTTTAAAACAATAAATAGGGCCACTGTAACATTATCCTGTGTCATGGAGTGTTTTATCGGCATTAAATCACCTAAACTACTGTATGAACCAAGCATGTTTTTAATTTTTTTTTAATTCATGTACAGTGTATGTGCTGTACTATCTCGAAAAGAAGCCCATGAGCTTCTTTTCGAGATGGGCTTCTTTTCGAGACTAATTTTGCAAACTGAAGAGGTGGGCTTCAATTCGAGATGGGTTTCTTCTTGAGATTAAGCCCATTGGGCTTCAATTCGAGGTTTTATGTTATTAAAACCATTTTCATCAATTTATTTCGAAACAAATGTTTTTGGTATAGGCAGGCTACATCCACAAGCAACGAATATTAACTATATAAAAACATAATGCCTCCCTAATAACAACCACAAGAAATTATTATGACATTTGTGAATGTTGCGAAAAGTTGTAGCTTGTTAAAAACGTTATTTATTTATTGGAAATTGAGTTATAAATGCATATTGGTTTAAATATCAAGAAAAACCAACGCCAAAGTAACTATAACTTTATTACAACTACAAATTGTTAGCTAGCTATAGATACCAGGATGACTAATATAATATTAGATAATGGAATCTACATCTATCTGTACCATATATATAATACATAGCCATGTAATTTTATAATTATGAAAGTCTGATTCGATTATTCGTTTACCAAAAATAAGTCGAAATTGATATAATGTTAAATTTAAAAAGGCCAGTTTAACTTTATCAGGATGCTTTTAACCCTGGTTAAGATTAATTATACCCTGATAAAAAGGGTGTACACTATTCTGTCTGTGTGGTGTGGAGTAGGTAAAGTGGTTTAGTTTCCACCCAGCTTTATATTTATTTATTTAGGCCTATCATTTAATTATTTATTTTTGTTGGGTGTAACATTTTGTCAGAAATATTGCGTAGACTATTTAGTTCAAGTTTTATTTAAGAATTATTGTCGAACATTTATTTATTTATTATTTATTTCTTTATTCTTTATACTGGGAAAAACCACAGGGTGTCTAATTGACATAGATATAGATTGAGTTAACATGACGAATGGGCTAAAAAATTTATAATTTTCGTTCTTGATATTACATCTTACGAAATGTAACGATAAAAAAATTATGATGCACAATATAAACCTAGCAGACGCAATGCATATACTATTTAAGGAATTAGGTTCAGGACACACTAACATATTTTTATGTAGGAGATTTATAGACACGTGACCAAATGTCGTGTTTTTTCATCTTTCGGTTGTATAGTTTAATATGCATCTGTATTAATACTAACCATGAAGATCTGTATTATATGGAATTGGTAAGCCCATCTATCCCTGCAGACAAGGTGTCATTAGCAAATATCATAACAAATTCAAGCCCGGCATGGTTGATTTTTTACAAAATCGAAAGCTTTTTCTTCTCTCCTAAACGGACCGCCAACGTCGAAAAAAGAAAAGACAATTGAGTCCTGACCTAGGGCTAGACTGTCCTGTCCACAACCTAGACAGCGGGCCTCCCCGACATAGCCACGCGACAGCTCCCTGTCAGATATTGCCCATGACTGTGGTACAACCTTTGGACCGGCGCCTCTAGGCCCAAAACGCTACATAGCTTCCATCGATCCTCACCGCAAATTCGTCGCGTGTTCCTTGCCTGTAGTGGTCAAAAAACAATGTAAATTCTTTATGCCAAACATGTCCAGTTGTGTACATTTTGCACCTGTGTACATTCATGTTAATTGGACTGAGGGTAACTAAGTTATATTGCCTGGGCGGAGAGAGCAACTTACCGAAAACAAACAAAGCCATCAACTTGAATTTCAGCATGTCAGAAATAATTTGGAGTTAATCATCAATTGAATTGGTTTGCTTGCCACTGGTTGATTTTTTTATACTCTCTTTTTGCATCAAGTATAACAATGAAAAGTAGTACAAAAACTTGTATTGCGGTCATTTGACATTGCTTTTAATTTTTTGCTATTATTTTGTCATTATTATTGTTGACATTAGTGTGATTGTGTATTTTAGTTCTTGCTCCGATAGTAGTTATTATTGTTTTAAGATTGTCATTTTCATTGTTATCATCAATATCAATAGGCATTCCTCTCATTTTCGTCGGCGCTTTTTGTAAAATAATAAGCAATAATAAATAGGTCCCTAAGAAATTATCAAAACCATCCTCACACCGTCATTATTACCCAACCATCATCAAAAACAATAAAACATGTGGTCGCTAATGTCAAAATGTGTGATAGTAAATTAGAAATGCAATGTTTAATCGAATCTGCTTTGGTTATTTTTTTCTATTAAATATTTTATAACAGGCTGCATATTTTAACACTAGAATGTTTTAACCCTACTTTGCTCCATTAACATCGTTATATTTCTGATCTCCTCAGAAATGATTTTTTGAAAAAAATAAACAGAAATTAGGTTTTTAATTACACTCTGCAAAAATATGTTATTAGGCACATTCATATTCATATCCACACGTGTGTACATTACTGGATGTAACCGTATATGTATAAATGTAGAACAGATCAACTAGTTCTAATTTGTAAATAATATCAAACATGGATTTTATTTTTCTCAATAGGCCTATTCATGTGCACCATTATCGAGGGGAAATATATCTTTTAACACTACGGTCTACCGTAGTGGCGCATTCAAATTCATATCCACACGTGGATGTAATCAAATTAGTAGAAATTGACAAACAATATATAGGTCATAATGTTATCTATATGAAAACAAATGAAACAATCGGACATGACGTATTATCAGAGGTGTCAGACACCCTCGTGTGCTATTTGAATTGCATTTTATCACAACCATATTGCATGATATTAATCCCAAAATATTACATTGTAAACCTACATAAAAGAGTTACTGGTTTCACTTATTTATCAAATTCAATTCCATATAAGTGATTTGGTCGAGCTGTCGTATATATTATTTTCCTCAATATATATTATTTTCCTCAATATATATTATTGGGACATCCCTATCAAGGTGACAGTTCCATGAAACGAGGGGAAATATATCTTTGAACACTACGGCCCGGCCACTCCTATTAAGGAGATATCCCTATTAAGGGGACGGGACACGTTCTCTAGTGTGCCAAATGGTCAGATCAATAGATTTGTAAGCCCTTGAGGAAACACTTTCTTAAATTGTTCCAATTTAGTTTAATTTATATTTTAACTAGTTCTTAGATCAACTGAAATGAAATTATAAAGAATATATGTCCTCATTTTGATTACTCGTGACAAAACCAATATTTTATTTAATTTTACGTTTTTGGTTATTGTCCCCTTAATAGGGTACCCCAGTTAAGAAAACATTCTTATTAAGGGGGAATATTTTTTCATTCGAATTTGTCCCATTAATAGGGGTTCTATTGTAGTTATATATAATACTATACATATATAAACATAAAAAAGAAATGGTACAGTCTCTTATTGATTTGCCTCAAAAAACGAGTATATTTTGAAAAATAATCGAATTACTTAATTAATTTAATTGAAGTTTAGGGACTTCCGATTTAATGTAAATAATATGCAGCTTTAATGTAAATAATATAATTATTTGATAATGAGAATTTTAGTCAGCGAAAAAAACTGTAGAATATTTTGGTTATAAACAGGGAACAGTTTTTTCAAGGCTTATTGTAGGCCTGTGTATTTTGATTTTGTATAACGAGTCCTACATTAATACAGCTTTATCTTCTAGAAAGGATGTTGTTAAATAAATATCTTTACAGCAAAATATAAACAGACAAGAATTTGTTATTTCTATGGAAGTTTTATTGTTTGTTTAATCACTCGTAGGCTTACTTTGGGGTTTGATTTATACCTGCATAATTAAATTTTAAGCAAGTTATGACTGACCTCAATTTTACATAAATAGACCAAGTTCTGAATAATAGACGAAGAGATGTCAGCAATTTAAAAAATCTGTGCTTATTCGGTCAACAACCGATCATATTTTAAATCACAATATAATGTTGTCACGGTATAAAATATAATTAATAACACTAACAAAAAAAAAAACAGCGAAATTGACTGCATATCCCACATCCGCATGCAAAAAGTATTCGGTAAAAATTCACTCGAGCTTAACACAACAAATATGTCCCGACAACCAGGTGCTCAGAAACCATGTATCAGATTTAAAAATCTCTGACTAGCACGTTTGTATATGCTGACCATTTCCCTTTTCTTGCAAAGATCTGTGCCCAAATAGCCACCGTCCCCTGCGATTTAGGTCACTCTGGAGGGAGTGAGACTACCATTATTTTCGTGCTTCCAAATCATGTGTTTATATCACGATTCAGTAGTAGTTTTTACTAGAAGAATGCCAAGTGTAATTAACTTTTTAAACACAGTGTTGTATTCGATAGTTAAAAAAAAACATATGAAGTTGATACACGGACATATTTTGAATGTCAATAGGCAATATTTATTCAGACTTTAAAAAGTACTTTATTGACTAACTTTATACAATTACACAAGCATAGACAGCAGCAGCAGCAGCTGGCAGAAGCTTATGTAATACTGATTTGTATAAAATTAAGTCAGTGAAGTAATGAAAGTGTTATATTATATGAGACTCGACCGATTTCAGGATGCATTCCTGTGACGCCAGCATTAAGCTGTAGAGATACTTTGAGAACAAAATTATAGTATGCAGGGCTTTCGGACAAAAAAAAATAATATAGGAAAATTACAATTTAGTACGTGGACATCGTGTAAATCATCCTTATTTTATTTTTTCTTTCAGATATACTCGTGAACGTGGAGGATGATACGTGTTGAAAGTGTTAATTTTCCTAGAATCGTGATACAGGCGTGATGTTGGCCATTTATTTTAAAAGAGCAATACATAGTAATATGGAAGAAAATGAACAAGTGGCATATCAAAATATATTTCTACTGTATATACATTCACTACAAGCATTGCGGAATGAGATGATTTTTTTGCTTCGTAATCTGCAAGCAGATTTTATTTTATTTTAAAACTTTTAGGAGAATAGATTTGAAATTTAATGCAGAAAAATATTTGCTTGATATTCAGTACAAGAAAATTTTAAACTATATTTAGTTGAAATTTACTGAAAAAAAATAAAGGAAATTTTATTTCGAAATTACAGTTGATATTTACTGAAAAAATAAAGGAAATGTTATTTCGAACATTATTTTATGTACCGGTAGTATATATACAATTTAAACGTAGAGCTATAACTATATAGAAAGTACTATTTGGTACTGCTTAGAAAATATGTTTATTTATATCATTTACGAAGTAAACTATTAATACTATACCTCCAGATTGTGAATATATATCTTTGTGTCCTGGTCGGGCTGCAAATACACATACAAAAATAATCGCCACTGAGAAACCATCATCGGATGGAATATGCAATTTATTAAATGACGAAAATTAACAATCAGTTAGTAATATAATAATACAGACTAAACCCATAACATTAAAATAATAGTTGTATCACTACAGTAAATTTATAGTTACGGATTTCCGTATCTCACCGTAACCCGTAAACATGCATTAAATTATAAACACAAAAACGCCTATCTTAAATCGGCATAGGCCAGAAAATAGCAGAAGGTTGTACATTGGGTAGCCTGTAAACAAGTACTGTATGCATTAAATATGATTGAAAATAATTATACAATATTGAAAGTAATCATCATTGTTCCATACAGTTCACCTGAGTCTGGGTATCCACAGTTAGTGGGAGAGCTGATACTAGTATCATGATTATGATAAGCGGTCACAATATACACAAATTTAGTGGCGCGCGTATGGATAAGAGTATTGAAAATGGCTGCGGAGGTGAAGTGGGAAGGCTTGATGATTAAATGAGATGGTGCTAGCTACGAAGATAAGATTATATGAGGTGAGGGTTAACTACTTGACCATACATTATTTAATTCGGAAATGTCAAATGGGAGGGGAGGGGATGGGGGTGGGGATGGCGACCTTTTTTGGGGGGAAGGGAGTGGAGGCGCACCCCCAAAAATATGTCACTGTTTTTATGTAATTTAATTGGTTTTTCCATGAGGTTTAATGATCTGACGGGGGAATTCTGGATTTGATTTTTGTTTTTGCTTTACTTCAATTTGTATTTTAATGTATTTTATTATTCAGATTGCCAATAATGTTTAGTTGTATAGACCTGTGTAGGCTATTATATATATTATAATATTAAAAATGTATGTACAGTAGCCTATATGAAACATGTTGGGGAAAATCGGTTTGTCGCAGTTTGTCCATTCAAGTCCTGATCCTCATGAAAAAACAAACTAAATTACATAAAAAATATCATTTTAATTGCAATGAGAAACTGTACCGAAATATCAAGAAGTCACGAGCAGACAACCTTTTCTGGAAAAGCTAATACAGTTCTCCACTTTTCGGTGGCCTTGGTTAAACACCTATCTTTAATTTTTATAATATTTTTTTGTTATTTGAAGACCAAATCATGAAGACATTGGTTCCTAAAATGGGGTCTTTAATTGAAGGGAGACCGTTAATAAACAGAGGGCGCTGTTAGTCAATCGCAGAGTGAATTGTCTCGTATTCTCTTCTTTTTTCTTTTTTTTTCTTTTTCAAGATTATGTCGTGCTCGAGAGATATCAGCATGATAGTGCCACTGTGTTGGCCTATAGTGCACGATACAAATACAGCTGGGCATATGCACTTGCAGTGGCGTATCTAGGAGTCTCGAAATGGGGTCTAAAGTGGAGTGGATTGGGGAGGTGGGGGAGGGGCTCGTTGATTACGTGAAGGGAGCTAAGGATTTTCAATGGGTGGGGGCGAGTAGGGAAGCATTTCCGGTTTTGGGACGTTCGCACCCTGTAGATACGCCACTGTGCGCATGACGTTTTAAGTATATGTTTAAGCTTAAGCACCTCTTGTATTAAAAATACACCTCCACCTTATGCCCATGCTTAAGAAAAGGGCAAAATGGACCGTCAGGTATATCCAGAAAGAACCTAAGCCAATCTGAATCTCCACAAAAGAATTACCAAGCGGCTTGTAAACACCAACATAGACGATAGACTCCTTACCAGGCACACAGTACCATACTATGCGTAACGCAAGTATTTCAACTAGCGTTTAATGTGATTCTACTATTTTATGTGAGCACTGTACCCGGACCCATGTGATTACGGACATTGAACTTTTTGCTCGTACTTTTTCGCGCGGGCTGCGATGCCCATGTAATATAATTATATAT